TGACTCTATAGAGCTTCTCCATCTTTGGCTGCAAAGAATATAATCAATCTGATTTTAGTATTGACCATCTGGTGATGTCCATATGTCGAGCCATCTCTTGTGTTGTTGGAAAAGGGTGCTTTCTATGACCAATGTGTTCACTTGACAAAATTGTTAGCCTTTGTCCTGCTTCCTTTTATACTCAAGGTCAAACTTGCCTATTATTCCAGGTATCTCTTGAGTTCCTACATTTTCATTCCAATCCCCTATGATGAAAAGGACATCTTCTGCTGGTGTTAGTTCTAGAAGGTCTTCATATAACCATTCAGCTTCAGCTTCAATGGCATCAGTGGGTGGGGCACAGACTTGGATCACTGTGAGGTAGAATGGTGTGCCTTAGAAATGAATCGAGATCATGCTGCAGTTTTGAGATCACCCCCAAGTACTGCACTTTGGACACTTCTGTTCACTCTGAGGGCTACTCCATTTCCTCTAAGGGAGTTTTGCCCCTAGGAGTAGACATAATGGTCATCTGAATTAAACTTTCCCATTCCCATCCATTTTAGTTCACTGATTCTTAAAGATGTCGATGTTCAATCTTGCCATTTCCTGCTTGACCGCATCCAATTTAGCTTGATTCATGAACCTAACATTCCAGGTTCCTTTGCAATATTGCTCTTTACAGCAGTGGATTTTACCTTCACCACCAGATACATCCACAACTGATTCCCTCTTTGGCTCAGCCACTTCATTCTTATTGGTATATGGGTGCCAAGTCGCTTCAGTTATATCCATCTCTTTGTGATGCTATGAACTATAGCCCCCCCCAGACTCCTCTACGCATGGGGATTCTCCAGGCAAGAATACTAGAGTAGGCTGCCATTTCCTTCTCCAGTGGCCCATGTTTCATCAGAACTCTAAAGGATGACCAGTCCAACCTGGTGGCTCTGCACAGCATGGCTCAGGGCTTCATGGAGTTACACAAGCCCCTCTGCCACGACAAGGCTGGGATGCCTGGAGAGAACACCAGCCAAACTAAAGTCCATTTAAAAAATGATAAAGAGCCCAAACAATGGCCTGCTGCTACTGCTGCTAAGTCACTTCAGTCGTGCCCGACTCTGTGCGACCCCGTAGACGGCAGCCCACCAGGCTCCCCCATCCCTGGGATTCTCCAGGCAAGAACACTGGAGTGGGTTGCCATTTCCTTCTCCAATGCATTAAAGTGAGAAGTGAAAGTGAAGTCGCTCAGTTGTGTCCGACTCTTAGCGACCCCATGGACTGCAGCCTACCAGGCTCCTCCGTCCATGGGATTTTCCAGGCAAGAGTATTGGAGTGGGGTGCCATTGCCTTCTCCAAACAATGGCCTATTAGTATTTAAAACCGCACTTCTGAAAACTGAAGGCTTCTATAACACAGGATCCGACAGACAAAAAGGTCTATGTGCCAGAACATCATGTGTCAGCCAGGACAATCCGATATAGGAGGGTAGACAGAAAACAATTTAATTTATAAGAAAAAACAAAGGCATTGAACTATTCTGGTAAATTGAGTATTTATAGAGTAACATAAAATAGCATAGATTATCCATGATACAAGGTTGTAAAAAAGCTTATTCAGCATTAAAGAACAGCTATACATAATGAAAGCAAAGTCAATGCTGCTGCAACCCAGACATGGGGCGGGGGGCAGCAGGAGAGTGGAGGGCCAAAAAGTATATTATTTACATTTAATTCTGCTGTGTGTTTTAAGAACAAAGCTGGCTATGTGAATTTTTAATGCTTCTTACAATTAAATATTGTGTTTGATCCTAAATACAACAAGAGCAGTATGCATGAAGGTCCAAAGTAGAAGAAGACCATTAATTTTCTTTCTGAATGACACTGCACTTATTTTATTTTCCCTTTTCTATTAATTGCTATAGTCTCTGAAGGTCCACTGGTAGCTAAATTTTAAGCAATTCTAACTCAAGTTATAAGTGCCTCTTATCCACTTCAACTCACCTTACCATCCCATCCCAATCAGAAAGAGTAACCACCCCTTATTTAAAAAAAATAAGTAAATAAATAAAAATAAATACATGTTTGTCTATTAGACTGTAAGATTTCTTAAGGCCAAGGAAAATATCTTAATGCCTTTTCTTTTCTGTAAATTTCCAGCAAACTGCCTAGTACAACGGAGCTTTAAGAATAAAGAACAACCTAACAAAGGAAGTGGGGAAGAAATGGTGATTGCCCTGCAGGAGGGAGCCAAGACCTTCCGCAGGCACCTGGCTGACTGCAGCCCTCACTGCTGCTTTTACCTGTTTGTCCAGGTACAGTCTGCCCCCTCCAGTTGCTCCCACGTTACGTTCTTATTAGGAAGAGAACCTCTGTCTTTTTCAAATGCGTATCTAGGTTTTACCACAGGGCCAGGCACAGAAAGAGCTGCTTCAAAGGTTGTTTGTGGAATAGATGAATGACCAATAATTCTAGAAGCATTTCATGAGACTATAAATTTAACATAAATCTCTCTTAATATACATTCAGACGTGATCCCTGCCGAGGAAAGACTTGCTAAGAGTATGTGGCTAAAGACACGGAAAGAAACACATTTAAGTCAGTTCTAATAAGGTGGATGAACCTAGAGCCTATTAAACACAGTGAAGTAAGTCAGAAAGAGAAAAACGAGTGTCATGTATTAATGCGTTTATGTGGAATCTGGAAAGATGGTACTGATGAGCCTGTCTGCAGGGCGGCAGTGGAGATGCAGACAGAGAAGAGACTGTGGACACAGTGGGGAAGGAGAGGGTGGGATGAGTTGAGGGAGCAGCACTGAAGCATATGCATTATTCTATGTAGAACAGATGGCCAGTGGGAACTCGCTGCATGGCGCAGGGAGCTCAGACTGGTGCTCTGTGACAATCCAGAGGGGTGGCATGGGGGGGAGGTGGGAGGGAGGTCCAGGAGGGAGGAGACACACGTGTGTGCTGCGCTGTGCTGAGTCGCTCGGTCGTGGACTGCAGCCCGCCAGGCTCCTCTGTCCACGGGATTCTCCAGGCAAGGGTACTGGAGTGGGTAGCCATGCCCTCCTCCAGAGGATCTTCCCAACACAGGGATCAGACTCAGGTCTCCCACCTTGCAGGTGGATTCTTTATCATCTGAGCCACCAGGGAAGCCCATGAATCCTGGAGAGGGTAGCCTATCCCTTCTCCAGGGCATCTTTCCAATGCAGGAATTGAACTGGGGTCTTCTTCATTGCAGGCAAATTCTTTACCAGCTGAGCTACCAGGGAAGCCCAGACGTATGTATACCTATGGCTGATTCATGTAGATGTATGGCAGAAAACAATACAGTATTATAAAACAATTATCTTTCAATTAAAAAATAAATGATAATAAAAAAAAGAGTGTGTGGCTACAGAGAAGTGAGGCAGCATGGTACTGCCAAGGGGAGCCAGGATTGCTAGAAAAACAAATTCTAGCTTTGTCTCTACACTAGTTCTGTGACTCTGCATTTGTTAATAAATGCTTCTTGGCTTCATTTACCTAATACATGAAATGGGAATACTGGACTGTACTTTTCAAAAAATTTTTATTCAGTACAGATTACTTGAGAAAAGTAATATTCAGCAGAACTCTATGTATTTTAAAAAGATAAAAATGGGGGTACTTTGGTTGTTTGAAGTAGGTGTGATGCTTGTGGGTGGTAGAACTGGGTCCCTGTCATACTTCCCTTTCCCCTCACTGACATCACCTAGGGAGGTGCCTAAACATCTCCCTGAATCCTTGGGTTCCATGGAACCCAGTTAGGACAACCAATGAACTCTAAGGTCCCTCCAGCTAGAGCATTCCAAAATTCTAAGATTTGATTTCTTCTAAGGCTCTAAAATCAACATCAAATCCCAAGAAGCAACCTAAGTGTCTATCAACCAACGAATGAATAAAGAAGATGTGATGTATAAACACAATGGAATACTACTCAGCCATATACATTGAAATTTCCCATTTGCAGCAACATGGATGGGCCTCGAGGGCAGTATGCTAAGTGACAAGTCAGAGAGAAAGACAAACACTGTGTGATACCACTTAAATGTGGAATCTAAAACATACAGCAGACGACTAACTGCAGCAAGAAGGAAGCAGATTCATAGATGTAGAAAACAAACCGGTGGGGAGAGGGATGGTGGGCGGGACAATACAAGGGGAGAAGATGCAGAGGTACAAACTACGAGGTACAAAATAAGCTACATGGATATATTGTGCAACATGGGGGATACAGCCAGAACTTAATAGCTGTGAATGGAATATACCCTTTAAAAATTGTAAATCGCTATGTTGTATACTTGTAATTTATATAATATCGGACACATCATGCATACTTTAATAAAAATAAAATAAAAGAGCATCAAGGTTCCTCCTATGCAGGTGAATATCATCCTACAAATTTTGCAGCAGCACCGTTCCTATAACTATTGTCTAAACTTAACCAACTGTGCAAAATCTTTTAGGAAATGCTACTTCTTGCACTGCTGTTGCTATTCTTTCTATGGACTTTTCATGTGGACTTCATTACATACAAATACTATAGTCCTCAAAGCTTATCTATCAATATCCTGGTATAATTAGTGTCATAGGAAATAGGATTAGAAAATCTTGATCCATAACGATAAGAAGGAGATAATTAGAATAAGTGTATGGTACCCACAGCATGTGTATTAGATTTTGGAAAAAATTTTGCAATTTTTTACCTACTTTACTCGTATTTTCTTTCTGAATGCCATTTTTTTTAATAAAAAGATAATTAATTGTACATAGGCAGAGCAAACAGTTTAAATAAGAATAGGAGCATGCTGGTACCAAGAAAAAGACGTGGAATACTCAGGGTTTACGTGTCTTACACGGAGAAGATAAGACACTGGTGGTGTGACATGAGAACTGGCTGTGCAACTAACCCTTCTCCAGGCTCACTGATGAGGCACAAAGACAGACAGGCAGAAAAGAGCACACCGTCCATTTACTAACAGGCCAACAAGAGCATACTCACACTGCCCATTCGAGCTTCTCATTCTTGATCGAGTTGTACAGAGCCTGGAAAGAGAGAAAACAAGATGGAATTACTCTCTTCATCCTGTTCTACATTTGTAATTCAGCAAATGGCAAAAGCCGAAAGGCTTGACTGAGCCAGCCAGCGGCTCCCAGAGCCCCCGCAGGTCATCCTGTTGGTGCCGCAGAAATGAGGAAGACACAGGTGAGCTATAGACAGGCAGGCAGCACTCAGAGATACACAGAGACGTCCCATGAAGCAGGAAACGCCTTTCATAACTACGACACACAACACCGGGCTACGTTCTGCCACAGAAAAACACAGGACCAACTAAAATTACATCACGCAGTCTGTTTTTCTTATCTGAAATATGGTCATATAGCTTCACTACTTTGGAAATTGCAACTTCCAAACTGCCTTTGGAATGCTTGGTTACAGATTTTACGTTTCTTAAGATGCAATTCATACCTTTTCATTAATGGACTAGATATAACAGTTTTCATAACAATGTAATGGGCAAAGGAAACGGAAGGAGACTGAAGCCCAATTATGGAAAACTACCTCAGAGTAATTTCAGAGTTTCTGTATCGATGACTTAGGCAGCCTGTATTGGTCTGCCTTACAGTTAGTGAGTGTTACCCTGATGTGTGTGAGGTGGTAGAGGGGGACACAGAAAGTTCTCTGAGAGCCGTGACAATAACAATGTCACAGACAAGACAGCATGTAAGACCGCCTCACCAGGCTCCCAGCTCCAGTATCTCACATAAACTTTTGTAATCAAGTTCTTCCACTAAGACAACTAACCTGAGAAAAAACTACCTCACACCTCTAGCTTCTTAATTCTGAGTAAGATGTTTATAATGTAAGAAAACACAAGTGCATCTCTAAGACATAAAACCAAAACTGCAAACTACACTGCAGAAGAGATAACTATGTGCAAAATAACAGTGTGATGGAGTTGGAACTTTTTTTTTTAAAAGAGAGATTTGGACTTATTAGACTCATCTCATTTACTTTAAGATGGGAAAAGGGGGATGAGATGCTATCAAATGACTCATCTTCCAAATAAGGAAATGGCAGGGTCAGAATGTTCCCCGGGCAGCACAGCAGAGCAGAGCAGAACTGCCTCGTAGACTGTTTTCTGCCTTTTAACACGTCTGGCCCAAGTGGGAGAGGCAGTCTACAGGTGTGTAATCAGAAAGACTGCACACAGGTAGCAAATCCCCTTTCTAGCAAAACTCGCTGCAATTCAGGACAAAGATGCTTGGTTACAGATTTTACGTGACTTAAGATGCAATACGTGCATCTTTAGCCACGTCTTGATGGACTCCACGGGATTTCTTCAGTGTGGAAGAAATGGTAGTCAGTCTAACTACTGGCTAGCTAATAAAATGTAGGACACATTTCATTATTATCAGGATATCAAATACAGAAATTATCATGTCATCAAATATAGAAATGGTAAAATAGCAAAAGAAAATAAGGGGTAAATCAAGGCACAGAGACCGTATTGTAAATTGAATGCTCTTTTCGAAGAACTCAAATTTACTAAAGAAATAGGACAACCTATTATATAGTTAACGTCTCTTGTGGCTGCACGTACAGAAGCTCAGGGTCGATGTCTGGCTCCAGCCTCAGGATGCTCTTGCTCTAAGTGTCCTTAAGTGGATTCTATTACTTGTAAGAGCCGCCTTGAACCCACAGGTAATAGTAGGTTTTTGAGAAGAGACAGATCATTAATGGTTCTTTATATACTAACACACACAATACTAACCAGAGAAATTTAACAATTGTTAGAGATAAAAAACTATCTATTCATAGAGGTAGAAAATGATATCTAGGCAACTAGAAAATGTCAAATAGATTCAATTCTGCCCCAGATCAACTTTTCCAAATGTCTTGCTCTTGAGAATATTTGCTTGAATTGATAACTCAGTTTCAAACTGGAATATTCTTGTTACTCTGTCAGCTGTACATCACACCAGAAAAATTTATTACAGAGGATCTTGTAAAATTCAACAAACCTGTTATACCAGAAGCCAAAGTCCTCTTTGTATGTGAATATGTGTATATACATATATATACATATATATAACACAACAAATCTAATCCTTATTCTTTTCAATGACAAAATTACAAAGGGATTTTCCTGAATCTTTTTAATGCTTTATGATAATTGATTACTAAAGGAAAATTTGTTTTGAAAATGCATCCAATACTCACATACCCTGATCAAACTTTATTATCACCAAAAGGAGGGGGAATGCAGCCAAAGATAATACTAAACATGCACACCTCTTGCAAGACTTGGTGAGCAGCTCTGGAGGTGTACTAAACCAAACCTGAAAGTGAATGAAGATGAAACTTCTAATTATCATTTATGCTGACACAATACTCCAAACCCTTACATACATACATAAATACACACACACATGTATTTTTTTTCATTCATTCTGAGGGTAGAATTGGTCAGTAAGGTGTCATGATTATTTACAGAGAGCACATTCCTCCTAAAATATCTTTTCTACACCTTAAGATTACCTTCCACTTGACTCTCTGCTGTGTCTTTTTATTTCCTTAAATTTAACTTTTATTTTATCTTGGAATATAGTTAGTGTACAATATTGTGTTATTTTCAGGTGTATAGCAAAGTGTTTCAATTATATATATGGCTGCTGTGTCTTAAGGAAGGTTGAATAACATTATTCAAAGTATAAATGTATTTAAACACAAAATAGCCACTAAGTTCCATTTTTTAAAAGTGAGGCATAATTGCCAAACCTAGACAGCGTATTAAAGAGCAGAGACATCACTCTGCTGACAAAGGTCTGTGTAGTCAGAGCTATGGTTTCTCCGGCAGTCATGTACAGATGTGAGAGCTGGACCATAAGGAAGGCTAAGTGCTGAAGAACCGATGCTTTTGAACTGTGGTGTTGGAGAAGACTCCTGAGAGTCTGCTGAACTGCAAGGAGATCCAACCAGTCCATCCTAAAGGAAGTCAGTCCTGAATATTCATTGGAAGAACTGATGCTGAAGCTAAAGCTCCAATACTTTGGCCAACTGATGCGAAGAGCCAACTCACTGGAAAAGACCCTGATGCTGGGACAGACTGAAGGCAAAAGGATACGGGGGCAGCAGACGGTCAGATAGCATCACCATCTCAACAGGCATGAATCTCAGCAAGCTCTGGGAGGTAACGGAGAAGAGAGGAGTCGGGCGTGCTACAGTCCATGGGGTCACAGAGTCGGACATTACAGTGACTGAACAACAACAACATAATTGACATACAACATTAGGTTCAAGTATACAGCATAATGATTTATTATTTGTACTAAACTCCCTGGAGAGCAAAAATTTAAGTAGAAATAATTCCCCCTGTTAATACTGTAAACATATCCCTCAACAAAACACAGCCATATTTGACAATCCCACAGCTTATACCCATAGTGATTGCAACAATTTACATTAGAAAACTGAAAGCTTTTGTTCTAATATCAGGAACAAGACAAGGATGTCCACTTTTACTGTTTTTATTCAACATCATATTGGAATTCCTGGCCAGAGAAATGAGCCAAGAGAAGGAAATAAAAGGAATTTAAACCGGAAAAGATGTAAAACTGTCACTACTTGGAGATAACATGATACTATATATAGAAAACCTTAGACTCACAAAAAAAAAAAAAACAGTTAAATTTTTAAAACTAGCTCTAAAATTCAACAAAGTTGCAGGATATGAAATCAATATACAAAAATCTGTTGATTTCTAAACACTAACAATGAACGATCAGAAAGACAAATGAAGATAGCAATCCCATTTGTAATTTCATCTTTAAGAATAAAATGTCTAGGAATACATTTAACGAAGGAAGTGAAAAACCTGTACTATAAGAAACTCATGAAAAGAATTGAAGATGACCAAATAAATTGAAAGACTGTCTGTATTCATGGATTAGAAGGATGAATATCATTAAAATGTGCTATAATACCCAAAGCAATCTACAGATTCAATACACTACCTATCAAAATTCCAGTGACATTTTTCACAGAAATAGAAAAAACAATCCTAGACTTTGTGTGGAACTGCAAAAGACCCCAAGTTGCAAAAGCAATTTTGAGAAAGGACAAAAAAGCTAGAGGCATTACGCCCCCTGATTTCAAAGTGTATTACAAAGCTACAGTAATCAAAACGGTACAACAGTGACACAAAACACAGACATCCCGATCAATGGCGCAGGACAGACAGCCAGACCAAGCCCACACATATGGTCAACTGGCCTGTGACAAAGGAGCCTTGACCATACAGTGGGGCCAGGGCGGTCTCTTCAACAAATGGTGTTAGGACAACTGGACAGCCACGTGCAGAAGAATGGAACTGGACAATTGTTTACACCAGATGCAGAATTTAACTCATGCTGGATTAAAGAGCTGAATGTAAGACCTAAAACCATAACACTCCTAGAAGAAAACATAGGCAGTGACTCCTTGATGTTGGTCTTGGTGATGAATTTCTAGATTTGACACAAAAAAGTAAAGGCAACAAAAGCAAATCAGGGAGATTGCTCAAACTAACAGCGCTTCTGCACAGCAAAAGAAGTCACCAAAACGAAAAAGCAATGTACTGAAGGGGGAAAATCTTTGCCAACCATATGTCTGATAAGGAGTCGATATCTAAAATGTACCATGAATTCACACAACTCAATCACAAAGAAACAAAGAATTCAGTTAAAATATGGGCAGGGGATCTGAATAGACATTTTTTTTTTTTTCCAAAGAAGGCATAGAGATGACCAACAGGCAAATGGAAATTTAAAAAATGAAAATATACTCAGTATCACTAATCATCAAGAAAATGCAAATCAGAACCAGAGTGAGACATCACTTCAGATGTGTCAGAATGGCTGTTATCAAAAGAAAAGAAGTAACAAGAGAAAGGGGAACCCTTGTGCACTGTTGGTGGGAATGTAAACTGAGGCAGCCACTATGGAAAAGAGTATGGAGTTTCTGAGAAAAATTAAAACTAGAGCTGTCAGACGATCCTGCAATT